ATTTGTTTTTAAAAATTATTTATAATTTATCAAAACTGTTTTGTTGCATCTTTTAAATATGAGAATTATATCAATACTTGTTAGGAGATTTCTCTAATTAATTTGTCAAAGTTTTTAAAACTTTTATATTTGTGGAAAATTCAGAGGTTTTTTAATTAATCATTGATAAAAGATATTACACTACATTTATTTGCAAATTAATAATTGAAAAGAAATTTTATTACATATGGAAATTGTGTGAATTTATTTGTTTTTAAAAATTATTTATGATTTATCAAAACTGTTTTGTTGCATCTTTTAAATATGAGAATTATATCAATATTTGTTAGGAGATTTCTCTAATTAATTAGTCAAAGTTTTTAAAACTTGTATATTTGTGGAAAATTCAGAGGTTTTTAATTAATCAATGATAAAAGATATTACACTACATTTATTTGCAAATTAATCATTGAAAATAAGTTTTATTACATATGGAAATAGTGTTTGAATTTATTTGTTTTTAAAAATTATTTATGATTTATCAAAACTGTTTTGTTGCATCTTTTAAATATAAGAATTATGTCAATATTTGTTAGGAGATTTCTCTAATTAATTAGTCAAAGTTTTTCAAACTTGTATATTTGTGGAAAATTCGGAGGTTTTTAATTAATCAATGATAAAAGATATTACACTACATTTATTTGCAAATTATTCAGTGAAAAGAAGTTTTATTACATATGGAAATGGTGTGAATTTATTTGTTTTTAAAAATTATTTATAATTTTGTTGCATCTTTTAAATATGAGAATTATATCAATACTTGTTAGGAGATTTCTCTAATTAATTAGTCAAAGTTTTTAAAACTTGTATATTTGTGGAAAATTCAGAGGTTTTTAATTAATCATCAAACTTAAAGCTTTTAAACTTACATTATTTGAGAAGAAGTCAATAGTTTTTTTAAACTTTTAAGTTTTTTGGTTTACTTTATATGAAAATTAATTTTCTGTCTATTTTAATGCGAAATTAAACATTTACAGATTTGTCCACTAATTGATTATCGACCTGAAAGTTATTGAAATATGTAATTTGTACAAATCTTAATAATTTTTTTCAAAAAATAAATAAGACGATTGTAAATATTCCCTATTAAACCCGAGAATACGCTGAATTGTTGTATTGCGCAAACAACGAAAATAATTAATTTAGTTTTTTTTTTCCCACAGGTTCGGTAATTAAAATCTGCAGTGCATCAGAGATACACAGGTAATGTACACAAACGCGTTTGTTGATTAATGTTCGAAGCAAACAGAGTTGACAAGATTTAATAATTTTGTAAACTGAAAATTTGTTTACCTGCACGACCCAGAGATTCGTCGTCATGATCTGATTCTTGAGGTTCATCTCGATCAGCTGCGACAGTTTCAGGCTCAACCAAACCGTTAAAGTTTCCGTGTGGTTGATGACCGGTCTGATCAATCGATTGTAGTTGCTCAAAAGATCGTCGTAGAGCCGTTTCGCGTCCGGATTCGCCTCCATCTGCATGAATCCACCTGCAAAAATTTAATGATCAATTGCAATTTGCAGCATAGAAACCCAAATTGAGAAGGTCAATTTCACAATGTTAACAAATCTTAATGATTGCATTTATTTTCATTAACTTCTTGTCGCGTTTTTAGTTGTAATAGTAATAATAATGGATTGGGCATTGACCCAGTCATTTGCACGACCCAAATATTGCCGATCGAAGGTCACATTTGCGAGATGAAATGGAAATCTGCTGAGTTTTCCTGAGAGGTATTATATGAATAGCCTATTAAGAATAGACTGTAGGATGATGATGATAGCCTCAAATCTAATTGGCCGCACGCCAGATCACTTGGTTCAATATTTGCTCGAGCACGAGAGAAGGTGCATTTCGCTTGCAAATGAAGAACCATAGCTTGTTTTTGTTTGTTTGTTCTTTTGAAAGAAGAAGCGCTAATCACACTTTGCATTTAACACTTCGTGGATATCTCTCTTTCCGATTGGATTTCACTTTTGCTGCTACAATCACTCGTTTACCTGAGACATCCTGCAGAAGGATTAAGGTGGTGAACGCGAGCACCGGAAGACACAGGATAAACTTCATTGTCGAGGAAAGGATCCACGCGCGTTACGCCCACCCGGATTCCGCCATGTTCGCGATGCTGCCTGGACCAGAAGGACTCGCGTCTGCATCCCGCAGGATCGATACGAAAGCGCATGACTATTGACTCTTTCTTGAGCAACTTTAACGACCAATTTTCTCCCGTTTTTACATTCCACCATATAAACGTATAGTTTGTTTACATTTTATCGCATTTATTTGTCCGCAGGGTAAAGATTCACGTATCATATTATATTCTTATAGTTCTTACATAATGCAACCAATTTTTAAGAAAATTTGTATTATTTATCAAACTGTTTATTCTTTTGAATATAGAAATTTTCAATAATGCTAATTTTAAAAATTTCATTACTTTAATTACACTTTTAAATTACATTGTTTGTAAAGAATACGTAAAGATTTGTTGTTGCCTAAATCATTTGGTCTGTTCTGGTGGTATTCCTAAGATGTAGTATCGAACGAATCTCTTAGAGTATTCGAATCCTAAGAAGGCGGCTGCGTTCGCGGGGAAGGCTCTCACCATGACAGGGATGAGACCCTTGAAGAGAGCTGTCGGTCCTTCGGTGGCTAACAGCTCCTTGAGGATGGTGCGAGCTTTCGGACTTGTATCTTCCGACGAAGTCTGTATTCGACTCTTGATCACATCTCCGGGCATCCCGATGAACCAATTGGCCATCCCGGCAATTCCACCAGCGAGTATGGTCTTCAGCACAGTCATATCAACGGTCCCGTTCTCCGATAGATAATTCTTCAAGGCTTCGTACGTCAGAAAGTACATGCCGCTGGCAGGCATATCTCGGCACAAGGTCATCGTGTACCCTTTGAAGATGTTGGGTAAACCTCCAGCTTTGTACAGTTTGACGACAACATCTACAGGTCCCGAATACTTCTTCGGTCCCTCCTCTTGGATTTGCAGCAGACACTTGATCCTCTCTCCAGGCGCGATCACCGTCGAGGTGAAGAATCCGGAAAACAGACCCGAACCCAAATAATGGATGTTCCTGAAGTCTTTCAGATCCTTCGGTCCGATCAGCTCCCTCCCGATCCGGTAGCCCATGAAGGAGACGGCGTAGATCGGCGTGATGGTAACAATAGGCGCGACCATACCCTTGTAAATTGCTAACGGACCCTCCTTCCTTATAGTCTTTTGAAAGCAATCGATCATCCCCTGGTATTTGAGCTTCTCCCCAGGCTTCGGGGTCGCTTGCGTCTGCAGTCGCACCTTCACCGTATCGAACGGATGTCCGACGAGCACAGTGCACATACCACCGACACCACCGTAGAAGAAGTACTCGATCGGCCCGACATCCCCCATAATTTACACATTCATAAGCGAAAAACAGTAATTGGACACAAAACAAACAAACAAACAAAGCGAAAACTAATTTACGAAACTGACAGACGTTGAAAAAAAACATTACGCAAAACCATTGCCAACCAAGCGAATTTTTATTTCGTCTCTCTCACAAAAAAAATAGCGATTCTTCTTCTTGGGGAATAAAAACTGCCGAACTAAATTTTCCAATTTAAGTAGTAAAATTCTTCTAAATTTTCGTTGCCTCACAAACAAATAATATTTCGACGACTATAAACTTTTTTTGTTATAGATTTTTATAATCACTTAAAAAATAGCCTTCTATCATTTTTCATAATTGTTAATTATTGATTTAGTTTTGACGATATTTGAAAATCAGTTCACGTCTTCACGTTTTATTCAATTACTCAATAATTACGCATGCTAACTAAACAATCATATATTTATATTAAAGTTAAAATTAAAACCTTTCCAACAAGTCCATTGGTACATTTGTGTTATTGTTTATTTTTATATAATAAAATTTTCTAATTTTAAGAATTTTTTTTTCCAATTATTTTCTATTTTTTTGTATACATCTAATTTATATATTTACATAACTACAATTACGCAATACAAATTAATAATACAGATATGGCCTTTTCTTCATATCTTTATTTAATTATTCGATAACAGCAAACGCCTATTAGATAATAAATTATGCAAATTATAGGTAATTTGTAATTAATTTTCAAATTGTAACATTAAATGTAATTTTCTTGTATATAAAAAAAATCCATTTTGCTGCAATCAATTTTCCAATTTAAGTAGTAAAATTGTTATAAATTTTCGTTTCTTCACAAACAAATAATATTTCGACGACTATAAACTTTTTTTGTTATAGATTTTTATAATCACTTAAAAAATAGCCTTCTATAACCTATGTTTTCATTATTTTTCATAATTGTTAATTATTGATTTAGTTTTGACGATATTTGAAAATCAGTTCACGTCTTCAAGTTTTATTCAATTACTCAATAATTACACATGCTAACTAAACAATCATATATTTATATTAAAGTTAAAATTAAAACCTTTCCAACAATTCCATTGGTACATTTGTGTTATTGTTTATTTTTATATAATAAAATTTTCTAACTTTAAGAATTTTTTTTTCCAATTAAGATTCGTACAATTTTCATAAAATGCTAGACAACATTATTTTAGATACTTATATTTATTTTTGTATACATCTAATTTATATATTTACATAACTACAATTACACAGTACAAATTAATAATAACGATTTGGCCTTTTCTCCATATCTGTTCGTGTCTTCACGTTTAATTTAATTATTCGATAACAGCAAACGCCTATTAGATAATAAATTATGCAAATTATAGGTAATTTGTAATGAATTATCAAATTGTAACATTAAATGTAATTTTCTTGTATATAAAAAAAAATCCATTTTGCTGCAATCAATTTTCCAATTTAAGTAGTAAAATTGTTATAAATTTTCGTTTCTTCACAAACAAATTACATAATATTTCGACGATTATAAACTTTTTTTTGTTATAGATTTTATAATCACTTAAAAAATAGTCATCTATTACCTATGTTTTCATTATTTTCATTCATAATGTTAATTATTAATTTAGTTTTGCCAACCAAGCGAATTTTTATTTTGTCTCTCTCAAAAAAAATAGCGATTCGTCTTCTTGGGGAATAAAAACTGCGCCACCTGTCGCATATTGCAACAATTCGATTCAGGTTGAGCTTCAGGAATTTCATCTTCGCTTTCGCTTTCAGCAACAACGGGAATTTCAATTTGCGTATCACCACCAGCTTCAGCCGTCCTCACTAAATCGACATCGTAATAAGCCAAATCCAGGATCTGAGGTCTCCTCTGGAAGATAGCGTTCGCGCATCTGAAAGTTTCGCAACCGTCGCCAATGTTCTCTTCGATATAAGTATTGTGTTTCCTTGCTAAATGCTTGTAACTCTTGTGCGGACTTATCGTTGATGTGGGTGAGCTTATACCTATCGAAGATTCGGGTACGTCTTCGGTGGATTTGAAGACTTTGTTGGCTAAAGAGTTGATTATTTCTTTGGAGCTCTTGGTGTTGGGTAATTCGTGAAGTTGACCGACCGGTAAATGGTAATCGGAGTAGTTTATAGTTCGTATCACTTGCTCGTCGGAAAGGTAGGATAGATCTTCGACGCGCGCCGTGCTGTTCGTGGATTTCGATTTGGATATGTTGAAGATCTTTTTGAAGCCGTTCGTGATGATTTTCGTTTTGAACAAGGCCGCAACTGTGAAATTGCTGGGACAAATAGCTGTTTCGTTTTCTAAATATTTGCCTAAGATTTCAACGCCTTTGGTTTCCGATGAAGCCGAGGAAAGAATGCAAGTGATTGTCGTTGTTACATTGGATAAACTTTCTTGGCTCGTCGAGCTTTTCGAATCGCTCGAACTATTATTATTAACTACAATAACGTTAGGTTCTAAAGGTAACTGCGATTCGATCGGAGGAGATTCCAAATTCCTCTCAGTCCAAATCGATCGTTTCAATCTGACTTGATCGTCGAAGCACATCTTTTTCGGTGGAACTTCGAGCGTCCTCGGCGTCACCAACTGATAGTTCTCTTGTATTTCTACCGCTTCCTCTGGATAATTAACATTTTCGTAGGTCTGTATGTTGCTGATGGACCTGAGGGTGCTGCACTCGGAGTCGGCGTCCTTCGAGCCAGACGTCGTTACGTCTCCATCCAGCAGGCTCACCCTTTCCTTCATCAATTTCAGTTGCCTCAAGAAGCTGTCATTCAGGTCTGAGCTGTCGTTGGTGATGGATGTGGAGGCGCCATCTCTGCTCCGACTCCCTGCTTCGACCTTCGAAGATGACCGCTCACCGTCGCCGCCATCCTCTGCACTCCCGTTCGAGGATTTTTTTGACATGTTTCAGTCATGTTTTTAAATTGACATCTAATTGATTGATTCTCTCGCTTCGTACGCGGTTTTTTTTTAATCGTTACCAAGGTGAAAAGAGTTGCACAAAGTCACCCGATCGAATCGGAAATGAACGTGAATGACGTGCACCAGATTCGAAGCAGCAACAGCAGCAGCATTGAATTACTACACCCACATCCAGCGACGTTATCCGAGATGTGCAACAATAGACTTTGCAAACATCACTTGCATCGTCCATTGTAACGGACAAACTTTACATTATCATAAGATGTTTCCCCCCATTCACAACAAAACATCTTCAGATAATGCAAGCCCTACGTACATGAAACTTGACAGAATCGCATCATTATAATATAAAGAACGCATCTAATTTAAAAATTCTATAGATCCAACAACAATATTTTAATCCACGAAAAACATTATTCAAAAATTGGCTTTTACATTTTATTTAATTACTCGATAACAACGCACACCAATTAGATCAGTAAACATACATTTTAAAGATAAAACTATGCCATTTCTAATACGATTATTTTCAGATCAGTGGTACTTTTCATTTTGCTACAATCAATTTTCCAATTTAAGCAGTAAAATTGTTCTAAATTTTCGTTTCTTCACAAACAAATTACATAATATTTCGAAGACTATAGACTTTTTTTGTTATAGATTTTTATAATCACTTGAAAATAGTCTTCTATAACCTACGTTTTCATTATTTTTCATAATTGTTAATTATTGATTTAGTTTTGACGATATTTGAAAATCAGTTCACGTCTTCACGTTTTTTTTTAATTAGTCGATAATTACACATACTAACTAAACAATCATATATTTATATTAAAGTTAAAGTTACAACCTTTCCAATAAGTCCATTGGTAAATCTGTGGCATTGTTTATTTTTATACAACAAATTTTCTAATTTTAACATTTTTTTTCCAAATACTTTCTATTATGATTCGTACAATTTCCAGAAAATGCTCGACAACATTATTTTAGAAAATTATATTTTTTTTTGTATACATCTAATTTATATATTTACATAACTACAATTACGCAATACAAGTTAATAATAAAGATTTGACCTTTTGTTCATATCTGTTCGCGTCTTCACGTTTTATTACAGCAAACGCCTATTAGATAATAAATTATGCAAATTATAGGTAACTTGTAAGTAATTTTCAAATTGTAACATTAAATGTAATTTTCTTGTATATAAAAAAATTCCATTTTGCTGCAATCAATTTTCCAATTTAAGTAGTAAAATTCTTCTAAATTTTCGTTTCCTCACAAACAAATTACATAATATATCGACGACTATAAACTTTTTTGTTATAGATTTTTATAATCACTTGAAAAATAGTCTTCTATAACCTATGTTTTCATTATTTTTCATATTTGTTAATTATTGATTTAGTTTTGACGATATTTGCAAATCAGTTCACGTCTTCACGTTTTATTTAATTACTCGACAATTACACATGCTAACTAAACAATCATATATTTATATTAAAGTTAAAGTTACAACCTTTCCAACAAGTCCATTGGTAAGTCTGTGGCATTGTTTATTTTTATACAACAAATTTTCTAATTTTAACAATTTTTTTTCCAATTACTTTCTGTTATGATTCGTACAATTTCCAGAAAATACTCGACAACATTATTTTAGATACTTATATTTTTTTGTATACATCTAATTTATATATTTACATAACTACAATTACGCAATACAAGTTAATAATAAAGATTTGGCCTTTTCTTCATATCTGTTTGCGTCTTCACGTTTTATTTAATTATTCGATAACACCAAACGTCAATTAGATAATAAACTATGAAAATTAAAGGTAAAACTGTAGCCTTTCCAATTAGTCTAATATCAGATTTGTACTATTTCCTATTACCTTGTAATTAATTTTTAAATTGTAACATTAAATGTAATTTTCTTGTATATAAACAAAACGCGTTTTAGTGTTTCATCAATGAATTTTGGAATGAAGCTATAACTATGCATAATAACGATTCATAATATTGTCCGAAATGGATTTTGTTGTTTATAACGGAAACAATTTCGCCTTTGAATTTGGAATTTAATCCTCCAAAAAGCGAAGCATCGATTTTCCGTGCTAACAAACAGATTTAATGTGAAACAAACATGAGATTAAACATGTATTAAATTTGATAATATAAATTTATTTATATTGTGAATAATCTTTTGAAACAAGAAATTGTATTCATC